TCTCCTGAACGACACGGAGGAGCACTTCCGACAGCACCGGGATAACTTGTCTCCGCGCGTCGGAGAAAATCAATCAACGAGCGTGCACGTGAAACCGGAAGTGAAGATTAATGCCACTTCATCCTTGTCTTCACAGAGCTCCGAAGAAGAATCGAATTTGTCGTTGGATTTCACACTACAAATGCAAAAGAATAACGCAGATGCGAGAGTTGATAACGATAATGAGTGCTCGGTAATCAGTAGTGATGTCAACAACTCTCAATTGTTGATGCAACAGGATCAATGTTGTCCGGGATTTACTATCTCAAAGAGCAGTAAAATGCGTCATCAAGGGAATAGTTGTATTATTGTCTAATGCAGAAGTTGAAGATTGTTGCAGATTTAGCATTTTTTTAGATTTCAATGCTAAAATATTCCCTTCTTCGATTTTTTCTCTCATTTTCGTATAACAAAAAATAAACATATTTATATCATTATTTTCGTCGAAAAAATTCGATTTCTGCTCCTAAAATAATTTTACAAATTTAAATATCTTTTAGAGGTAATTTCTATTTCACATATTACAGTAATTTTTTGATAATTTCAACGAGAGAGAGAGAGAGAGAGAGAGAGAGAGAGAGAGAAAGTAAGTCTTCTCGTCTATTATTTGATAAAAAACTTAAATGGACTTGGACACGAAGATAATCCGTGAAATGGATAACTTCTGTAACAAAATTTTTCGCAACAGCACGGCCGAGTGTATTCGCGTATATTTAATAATAATTGTACATATATCTCAAAAATAAAGTGTTTAAAGATTTAAAGCATTTGTACTCTTCGACGAGATTATATTTTCATTACCTGAGCAATATTTAAGTTACACAACTCATTGGCGATACACTGGGCGAGTTCAAACTTCAAGTCAGCAAAGCGACTAGCTGCTCGCTGAGCAATTAAATATGATTGATTGGATCTACAGGTAAGAACCAATCGTGCTCATTGGCTCGACAACTTCTTCAAAAAATTAATGGCATTCGCCGCAAAAATAGCAGCGATTCCAGCCACAATCGTAAATAAATTGTGAAATCAAGACAAATAACGTATCGCAATGCACAGTCGAAGCCGAAAATGCTTTTCAAAAAATGGGTGATGCAACACCCGAAGCGAGGCGAGACATACGTCCATTCCGCTCGAGTGATCTCGCGAGACACATTGGCTCGACATACAATTTCTTTTTTCTTTTTTTTTCGGGTAATAATGGCACTTCATCATGGCACCCGCCGCAATTGGCTCGACAAACATGCTGCTTTGACAGTTTAAACCATGAAGTAAGAGATAAGGAAACCGAACTCCGTGAAACAAAAGTGATCCTGATTCGTAATCCCTAATTGGGAGAAAATTCGCTGAACGGAATGAATTTTTATGTTTGGGCGCCATTTGCAATTAATCTTACTCAAGCAGTTCAGCCGTACCTCGGTTCTGCTCACAAAAATGCTCAGTCGGCAGTTCTCATTTTTTTTCAGTCATTTGTGGTCCTTTGTTATCTATGCATTTAGTATAGTGTTGTTTAGTATTAATATTTATATCATATAAAATATAGCCCGTATTCAGAACGCGCTTACAATAATGTTAGCGCGCTAACATGCTATAATTTACGCATATTATAGAATTTTAAAGATAAAACTTTTATCGATAAAAGAGAGCGCGTTCTGAATACGAACTATATCTTCCATCTGCTATCGAAATATACTACGTTATAATACGATTCATATAGTTATTACCTCTTTTTTTAAATACCTTATTTTATTTGGATTTATAATCCAAAAACGCAAATCAGGAACAAATATTTGCAGCGACCAGTGACGCAACGTGTACATACCTAACTTCACGACATTGCTTTACAAATGGCGCCCAAACATAAAAATTCATTCCGCTCAGCGGATTCCCTGCCAACACATTTAGCGGACTCAACAATTGAGTGCGCGCTCGCTGTTATTGGTATATTCTTCTACATCTAAAATTCTGATTGAATAAGCTACAGAAATACACCAAAAACAGTGAGTTCAACTGTTGAGTCCGCTGAATGCAGCCTATATATACACTGAAATAGGCATCTCCTATGAAGCATAAAAAATCATAACACCAGCGCCATTTTAATTTGGTCAATATAAGAGCAAATCAGAAGCTTTCAGATGCTCATGCGCACTTACGTTTGGTGTTCTTTACCCCGGATCTACAATAGAGTTCTAAGCCTTAAGCCATAGAAAATGAACGAATCACAATCGATTATTCTCCTTGTATTCGACTGTAATTGGTCAATTTCTTACAACTTAAGACTTAAAATGCCTATTATAAATCCAAACTTAATGAGACGCATATGTCGGCAAGATCATCGTGTGTAGGGTTATATTTAAAGGATTCGAAAGAGAGAGAGAGAGAGAGAGAGAGAGAGAGAGAGAGAGAGAGAGATAAATTATAAAATCGCGTGACTGTAAAATATGCAAAGCATCAACATAAAGTGTTGTGTACCTAGATGTGGGCAGAGAAGTAAAAAGGGCATTTTATTTCATTAGTAATTTTTATATTAAATGTATCAATTCTTGTACATGTATTAACAATGTAGGATATGAAAAGTGGTATTAATGTTATTGAATGTACTAATAAAATTGAAATAATATTATTTTTCTTTACATACCATTCATGTTCCTTTAAATTTCCATCGATAGTATTACTTCGATCGCAGTGCGCGCGCGAATGCTTCTAATTCACTCAAATATCGTTCCAACTAAAATGGTGATTGATCAATTGTGGCTACGAATTTTCCTTGATGCCCATTCCAGTGTATATATATTTCAGTGAACCATAGTATGAGTAAAAACATTAGTTTTAGGGTGCGATCTCATAGTGCGGAATTGGCGTAATGCGGAATTGACAGAACGCTTGTGATTGATTGTGGCTTCATTCTGCCGATTCCGTTCCGCTAAAATATGTTTTACTATGTCCCATGGAGCGAAATTTCCAGAATGGGCAATTAGCGTTGACCAATCACAAAAGCCTTCTCATAGATCAGTTTTATTAGATCCACCGGAATAGCGTTTGGCTTGCATTGATTGCGCATCTGCAAGTTCCGCTTTATGAGAAATTAAATTCCTGCGGATCGGAAATCACACGTACATACAGAGACATCCCGACTTTATTTTGTGTACCCATTTTGATTTTGATTTATATTTCCGTCTTTTTGTATACTATATATATGACATTCGTGTTCTGATTATATTGATCTCTGTATTTATCTGGAGACTTAATTAATTACTTTCAGGGTTATGTTGAAATTCCATTATCATTTTATTCTTGTTATTTACCAAACCAAATGTTAAACAAGAATGACATAACACCTGGAGAACACTCAGATGGGAATCCAAACACGCCTCAGCATGTTGATTAATGCGTTTGTAGGAGATAGTTTTCTTTATTTAAACCAGTTTAACGAGGTTAGTTTTTATAAGTATACATATGTACACGCACACATGCAGGCATCGGCGGAATTCGCAAAAGAAATAAATTTGCGCAACAGATAAATTTACGTAAGAAAACAGCGGAATTGGCGGATTGAAGTCATGACCAAACGAGTGTCCGCCAATTCCGCATTGCGCCAATTCCGCACCATGGGACCGCATCCTCATTCAAGGCTTAAACACAATAGGTACAGGCAACAGGGAATAACAAGCCGTCCAATCAGAGCTCTGGTGTGTAAGCTTGATATTAAATCCCAGAGCTTTGATTGGACGGCTCGTTATACTCTGTTGCCTGTACTTATTATTTATGCCTATTGTGTTTAACCCTTCAATCAAAAATAGGGGCAACAGTTCTGCGCAATTTTCAACATGACGTCAATCAATTAGTTTCTCTATTTCCTAGATAGATTCTTCTCTTAGTTTGTTTTTCATGTTGACGCTCATTTTCAGCGTCAAAACAGGTCACATGATTAAAATTAATGCTTGATATTCGTCAATTTTGATCAGATGACTTGTTTTGACGCTCAAATCAAGCATCTAGCGTCAGCATGAAAAATGCAGCCTTAAGTCCGATGTCCACGATGTTAGAAATCTGTCCGAAATTTTAGATAGAGAAAAAATTAACAAAAATTAACATTTGAACAATTTGATTACATTTCATTGCGATTGGTCAATTCTTTCTTCATCTAAGGTCTCGGACCGATTTTTAGCATCGTGGACACAAGGCTTTATAAGTGCTCACGTGCAATTTTTAACATGGCATTGTGGGACATAAAGATCAAAGACACAGGCCTAGTTTCTTCCGAGGGTTTAAACCGGATCAGAAAATAAGAACCAACCAACTACAGTCGAGCATTTGCCAACTACTGTCGCTCGACTGGAATACTCGACTAGACCACTGAGTGAAACTACTGTTCTTACTTATATTGTGCTGCGGCCTCAAGACGTTTAGAGAATTCTGCTACTGATGACAAAAAAGTGAATATTGCTATGTAATTAACATCCATTTTTTTAGAGGACAGTAGTGCGCTGGGCAGCTGAGTAGAGAGAATGCTGAGAGAGGACATGACGGCCCAAAATCTGTAACCGCAAAATGCTGCCGCGCACTACTGCCCTCTGACAAAGTGGATGTAAATTACAATGTTCACTTTTTTTTAGGGTACATCGTCCATTTTTTAAGGCTGGAGATGATAAATTGGTATTTGATTTATATAATGATGCTACATATAATACGATTATATGAATCAAATATCGATTTATCATCTCCAGCCTTGAAAAATGGACGATGTACCCTAAGAAAAGTGGACGGTACTATGTAGTTTACATCCATTTTATCAGAGGGCAGCAGTGCACGGCAGCATTTTGCGATTACAGATTTTGAGCCGTCATGTCCTCTCTCAGGTTTCTCTCTGGCAGTAGTTTGCGAGAAAAAGGCTCTCATGTCTTATGTCCTCTCTCAGGTTTCTCTGCCGGTACTGCTGGTAAGTGGTGTGGTAGTTACGCGTTACGGGTTACGTTTACGTTACAGGGGGGAGGGGGGTGGTCGCGTCGTCAGTTGGTCGTGTCGTGTCGTCGTGTCGTCGTGTCGTGATTACGAACCATCGTGGCGCCTTTCTCGTCATTCTTCTGTCCTCATAAAATTTTTGCTAATTGTGTATTGCTCTATGAAACGTCTAAATAGTGTGCTTTTGATGTGACGTGTTTTATATATATATATATATATATATCTATTTTTTTTAAATTATTCGGCGTAAGGTTGGTGTTGTTCGCGGTGGAAAAGACGACGCAAAAAATATTGCAGGTAAATAATCATGCGACGCGTTTTCTTGCGAAATTGTTCGATATTTAATCATATTGTAAAATTTGTGAGGTTAGGGTTAGGTTAATGTAGCATGTCATGGCCTACCATGCCATGTCACTTGGTATGACCGGAATCGCTGCTTTCTCTCGTGATAAAAATATCAATAAATATCGCGACGAGGGTTTTCTTTTTGTTTGTGGTGGTTTTGAATTGAGTCTAGTCATCTATATAGTCCATGATGCATCGTGGTCTAGTCTGCACTCTCGTCGCTATGTGCGGTGAATTTGTCGTTGACGAATCGACGCGACAGCTTAATCGCAACCTCACGCAACCTTGAATTTCATTAAAGGATTACGAGACTCCTCGAGAAGAGTTTTCATTCTTCAGTCGCTCGATCGCAAGATGGATATTTGAAACGAGTGTAATTGGTATAAATTCGATTCAGAATGATGTCAATATCAATTGTAACAAAGCATGAGTATATCGCTTAACATTTATAAGAAATTATATTTAATAACTATATAAACAGGAAGATACGCCGGAGATAATCTTTAAAAACTTTTTCATTTCTACTTACAAAAGTAGTTTTTAACAGTTTACAACATGATAGCTATATTTTTTTCTCATAGAGAAAAAAATCCTATCCGAGTTTGAAGAAAACTTGAATATAAACAATGTTAATTGATATATAAATCAATTTTTATAAATATTATTTATATAATTTTTATTTTTTTTTTTACTATTTTATACAGTATATTTATTGTATATATGTGCAACAAAGTTGGTTTCTATAAATAATTTTGTAGGGCTATTTTGGTTTATATTAATTTATATTTAATTTCAATAAAGTCTTATGTTTGTAGTGAGAGAAAATGATGCAGGATGAAGACTTGGGTGGCTCAGTGAGAAAAAATATTTTCAGTCAAGGGATAATAAGAATATCACAGGTTAATATGAGTTTATAATCGTTCATGTAAACACTTTATCTAACACACACATTTAATATTTTATATAATATACACACAATTATTCAGTTTTATTTTTTTCTACTAAAATACCATACTGCATATTAGCGCTACTTGACAAAATTAAATACTAATAAAGACTAATAAAAACTCATGATTATTATTTTTATAAACTGCTTCTTATATTATCATTGTCCTTTTTTATGCTCTTTAAATCTTGTTTTAATTTGGATATTTTTAACTTAATCTTTATTCTCACTCTTGTGTGCATCATATAATTTATAAAATCTCTTTTTCTTATATTTCAGATATATCAAAGATACCTAGATGTATGGACTCCTCATGTAATATCACGATGGACATTTGCTTTATTCTTATTAGTACTTTTTATTCTACGTATATTTATCTCTCAAGTACGGTATTTCCTCTATTAAATTGTGTGCAAACCTAGTTCTTTACAGTTGTATCGCATGGTATTACAGAAACATATTTTCGTATTTACAGGGGTGGTATATTGTCACATACGCACTAGGAATTTATCATCTCAATTTATTCATAGCATTTCTTACTCCAAAAATTGATCCTGCCATGGATTTTTTTGATGGTAAGCAATTTACCAGATGCATTTTAAACGTTTCCATAAAATTGAATTATACATAGAAAGAAATTTATAATGATGCATTCAACAAATGAGCAATGTGATTTAATTTAATGATTTAGATATTTTATAGATTCAGACAATTAAAAAGTACAGATTAGAGTTAAATTTAATGTAATTTAAAGATAAGAGTTTTATACTCTCTCTTTCTTTTTTTTTTATTTAATATGAGGTATACTCTTTTTTTTTCCTTTAACATAGATAGAATTAAAAAGTTAATTTAACATGAAATAAAATTACAGATGGAGAAGGTCCTGAGTTACCTACAAGATCAAATGAGGAATTCAGGCCGTTCATTAGAAGATTACCTGAATTTAAATTCTGGTATTCAGTAACAAAATCTACAATTGTTGCCATGATATGCACTCTATTTGATTGCTTTAACATACCAGTATTCTGGCCGATACTTGTTATGTATTTCATAACATTATTTTGTATCACAATGAAGCGGCAAATAAAGGTAAGGAATCGACGGTAGATTTTTATACCTTTTATTTTTATTATTTACTTTTTATTTTACTTTTTTTTTATGTATTCTGATAATAATCACGCTTAAAAGTTATATGGAAAAAGTTAAATACAGTATTCTGTTAAAAATGAGAAAAAAAACAAAAGATTTTAAAAAATTCTAAATTTAAATCCGAGAAATCTTCTGTAGGAATTAAACGTTAAATTGAACGCATTCTGTAAATAAATGTTTTCCGCGAAATAATTTCGGGAAAGTTGGTATGAATGATCGATAAACAATGTTCTATTCAAATTGAAAAAAGCTTATTTAATCTTTAATTTATTTTTTACTGCAGATTTAATTTAAATTAATGTAATTTTTTTTCTTTTTGCAGCATATGATCAAGTACAGATACTTGCCTTTCACTCATGGCAAACCAAAATATCAGAACCATGAAGACACCTCACGATTGATATCATCAAAGTGAATAAAAGTAAAGATATATTGTGCCTGTACAGGGGGGGAAGGGGCATAAGCGAATTACGTAGATTTTAATTTTCCCAGTACAGGGCGAGGGATACTAGCAAGAAAACAAAGAGAAATCGAAAAAAAAATTTTTTTTAATGCCATTAGAAGAAACAGATATTGCCTTGTACAAGAAAAAATTGAGTCCTTGCAAGGACTTGTAACTCTAAATTATACATATAGTATATGATATATATATAATCTGGATTATCTTAATATATTTGTATCATAAAACTTGTACAAAATATTGTTAGCTCTTATTTCATTAAAAGAAGTAAGAAAAAAAACAATATGGTCACATCGATAAATGCAGTTGTCAATGTAGTAGATGAATGTAAGTTTATACATAAAGATTTGTTAATAGTTAATGGGTGCTTTCCAATTAATTTCCTAATATGTTTCTCCATATTTCAAGTTGATTAATTTTGCTTACGATTAGATAGTAAACTAAAAGATGTACAGAAAGCAAAAAAATATAAACCAAATTCTATTTGTTAAATTATGTCATGAAAATATTGTATCTCGAGAGTGTATTTATATGTACGCAAATATATCTGGAATGTAACTAAATCGTAAACCAATTCATTTTATATTAACAAATTATGCTGTTGTTACAAATTAAACAAAAACGAATTAATTTTGCGTATTTTTGATCTATTTGGAACATAATATACATCAATGTCTACATACAATGACATATGTTTTTCGTTTATTATAATGAAGTTAGTTGACTTTTAAACTGTGTAACTTAAATCAAAATATATATAAGTATCACCAAAAGTCGTATAAATGGAAAGTACCCAATTAAATTTGTTAATCATTCTAGAGGATATCGTTTCCTAGCGCGTACATTCCATGCAATTCACTTGTATCTTTAAGCAGCTTTTTTTAGTTTTGGATATCCATATTTTTTTTTAGTCCAAAACTATTAGAACGCAGAATATTTCCTTTAGATTTCTATTAACTTTTTCCTTCTAATACCGCAGTATATACGAAGAATTCAAATCGTGAAATGCAGAATGCAAGTCCAATCCTTTCTTTGTACAAAAATTGACTAATTTCAATTTTTTTAAAAGTTTATTACCGCTATATGAAATAGTTTTCAATTATTGTTATCAGTATAAAAATTTACATTTTTTAATATATAGATATACTTTGGTACGAAAATTTATTTTAAAAATTTATCTTGATATTATCTTGATGATATTATTTTAAAAATTTATCTTGTTGATATTACCAGAAATAGAAATCTTATATATATTGTCTTTTATATTACTGTTAATAGAAAATCAAATTAATCTTTTAAAATAATTATTTAAATCATTTAAAAAGATCATCTTAACAGTATTGGATATTTAACAAAGGATTTATAGTATTAAATGTGTATGAGAAATTACAGATTTTATATTAAACTTTTGATATTACGATTATATTGATGTGTATAATAATAAATATAAGTGCATTTTATATTGAAATTATACATAGAAAATTTAATTTAACAGCTTTGATATCGTTGAACTAAGTTACTGATATTTTAATATAATTGTAAGAAAATTATTAATGCAAAAGGAGTTAATGCATCTTACTGTTGTAATATTTTATTTGTTGGATCAGTGTTATTTTGCAATTTCAGAATCTTCTTTTTCTTATATAATTTGCGGTAGCGTTATATAGGCTGTGTTCCAAATTTACTGCCAGCGCTGAAAATTTATAGTTTATGTTATGTGCATTATAACTTTTCAGCATTGAATCAGCAATCAATTACGGAACACAGCCATAAAGAAGCATGCATATTTTTTTCGAATTTTTTCTTTCATATACTACGCACTAATACACATACAAATATTTGGATGGAGAGAGAGAGAGAGGGTGGGGTGAGGGTGGCAGGTGGGGAAGAGAAAATGAGAGAGAGAGAGAGAGACACGCACGCGCGCATAGAATTCATTACCAAACAACATAGTTGTGTTTCAAAATTTACTGCCAGTATTGAAAATTTATAATGCATGTGATAGAAACTATAGATTTTCAGTATTGGCAGTAAATTTTGTAAAATGTCTAATAATGGTACATCGCATGTGAGAAGTCTATATTTTAATTTTATCCTAGAATATACTTTTACACTTTTTCAATAAATTTTTCTAATATTCATATTAAGTGTAAAACATTTGTATATCTTAAAGAATATATATATATATATACACACGCGCGCGCGCACACATACACACACACACACACACACGTATATGTATGTATATAATATTCTTTAAGATGTATATACTATGTATATCTATATATTATATATGTATTTATATATGCACACACATATGTATATACATTTAAACGGAAAATATTTTTAAATCAAATTTTTGTGTTGCATTTTTATAATAATCATTTTAATATTTTCAAATCAGATATGTTTTAAAAGATATATATTACCGTACAGATAGAATTTAATATGTTATTATATACATACAATTCTAATTTAACGAGCTTTAATATGTACATTCTATTTTATTTGCGCGTTTTTGGTATTCTAAGTTTAAGTAGGTGATCGAATAAATGTTTTATAAACATTGATGCAATAAATTTTCTGTTTAATAATTATATATATTTCATATACCGTAGAAAGAAAAACGATGCTCAGAAAAATGATGTTTATATAAGAAATTTGATATAAAAGTTTTTATAAACGGACACAAAGCGATTGAATTTATCTTATTGTATATAGTGAAATATTTCTTTGCGAAATATTTATTTAAATGACAATTATACACATTACAATTGCTTGTGTATATATAAAACTCAGAATTAGCACATTTTTAAAGAATTTTATATTTTTAACACTGTATGTACATAAATATTACAATGTCCAAATATATGTAGTCAACTGTGTTATATGATAAGTCTTTCATTTTTACGGATTTGTTTATGTGTGTATGTGTAAATATAAACATGAATGTGTGTGCGCGTGTGCGCGTGTGTGCGTGTGTGCGCGCGTGTGTGTGTGTGTGCACGCACGCACAGAGTATGTATGCATACATACATGTGTATATATAGATGTATGTATGTGTACACACACACACGCACACGCTCGCGCGCATACATATTTCGTGTTTATATATAGATGTGTGCGTGCGTGTGTGTACACATACATACACATACATACATCTATATATACACATGTATGTATGCATACATACTCTGCGTGCGTGCGTGCGTGCATGTATGTGTATATACACAACACATATATATTCGATCCGTATATGTACGTATATTTTTAGTAAATATTTATATCGGAGCCTCGCTAAAATTTATATATTGTTTTATTCTGTATTTTACCATGTAAAAGATACATTTATTTATTTATTTGTTTTTTCGAAACATGTGCAAAGAGAAAATAAATTTTCGACGCAACGATCAGGTACCATGTTAGTAGATATTTTTTGCACTTTTGTAACTTTATAATACGATTGCACAATATCTTTCTTACTTTTAAACTAACTTTATAATTCACACTTTTCTTTTTTAGTCTCTTATCTAATCGTTTTGAAAAAATAAATTTGTATATTTTACAGGGTATCCCAAAATTCACTATTTAAAATACTGTAACAAGAAATTTCTCGGAAAATTAAATAAAAAGTCACTTGAAAAATTGTATTTAATATTAGATAAATTTAAATAAATACATAAATAAAAAGATATAATTGCAATGTTCACGAAACGTTGGCATATCAATAATGGATCTGGCCTCGGAAATGATCCGCGAAATGTATAGCTTGTTTATAGAAAATACCCGTGGAAATTTCAAAAGTATTAAGACGTATATACTTTTTAAATACAATTCAAAATAGCATATTGTAACATATATAGTGTATACATACGTATATAGGTTCTTAAATTCAATACTTGAAAAAGTGGCCTAGAACCTAAAGTAAAAAAGGAAAAAAAAAGATTTTGTTTAAATGTAGATTAATTAGGGTTTATTTTTCAATAATTATAGTAAATTATAATAAATTATGCAATTTGACAGCAAAAATGCTCACGTATACAAAATACCCGTTTCTTTTACCCTAGCTAACATATACGCTGAGGCGTGTAGGGTAAATCGAGGCTTTTTGTTCCATTTCCCGTGATAATGTCTATATTCTGAATAGTACATGTTAATTATTTAATCATGATTGTAATGTCATAAGCACAATCCACTGCAAAGAGATATAGTTTGTGCTACCATAAATTTTCATATTACTTTAAAGTTGAACTGACGGAATAGCCCTGCCTTACTCTATATATGATTAAACTTATATAAGATACAATATGCATTAGAAAACATCAGGTCACACATTAGAACATGCAAACAATATATGTTGCATTTGAGAACAAAGGTAAGTACTTTGTTACAGATTCATTTAATACACCTCACAGTGAACTGTAAATCTATCTGCTGTAGATCAAAATTATAAAGTATTGTGTCAAAATTATAAAACTTACAATTTAATCTTTTTATATTGATATGAAAATGTCAATAAAAAAATGTTAAAAGTTGTTGATCTTAAATATGATAAAAAGTATTATAAAAATTATTTTTGTAACAAATTGTTACAAACAAATTATTAAATATTGTCTGTAGAAGGAACTGATTATGCAAATCGATTTTATGAGAAAAATTACAAAAGAAATACGTATAACTTTTTATTTGTTTTTTTTTTGTTAATTTTATTATGGTCTAGCTATGAGCTGGAACGAATTCTAAGAGAACTTGTGAGTTTAATTTTTTTTGTATATATAATTCATCGGAGAACGGCAATAAACTAAGAAAAAAAGTTACACATATATCTTTTTTAATTTTTGATTGGAATTGATTGATATTACAATAGTTTCTCTGTACAGTCAATATTTAAATATTTTATTTATAACATGTAAAATGGATTTTATTTCAAAAATTTTTTTACATTCTAGTCCTAT